TGGTGCTCCGCAGTCTGAACGGGGCACTTCTTGCTGGATCCCAGTTGTGGGTTGGGGTGGCATGGGCACTGGATCCCGCCCGTGAGAGTGAGTCCTGTGACAGTCCCAAAGTTTGTAGAAGAACCGCTGCATCTTGCATGCTGTAGATTTGGTGTGTTGTTTCACCGTGTTGCACTAGGAGGGTGTATGAGGATCGCCTGCGGTACGGTATTTTGTTGCGCTGGACTGTGGAGGTGAGGGGCCGGAGTGACTTGCGCCATGCCAGGGGTCCGCTGGACAGGTCGGCGTAGAAGGTTAATTTTGCATTTTCGGCTTTACCCCGATCCGCGGAGAGGACCTTCGATTTGTCTGACCCATTCCCAAAGGTAAGTATAGTGTCCTTTGTGGCAGTGTCTGGGGCCCCAACGGGTTTTGGGATTCGGAAGAGATCTGTAAGTGCGATGGCATTGGCTTGGTCTGGAGGTAGTATTGTGGTTAGTATGCGCTTGATCGTGCGCAGTAGATCCGTCTCTTGCAATCCCTCCGGAATCCCCCCTGACTTTCATGTTGAGCCTCCGCCTAGTGTCCTCCTGGGCTGCAAAGCGCCGTTCATACAGCTCATTTTGGCGGCGCAGGTCCCGCATGTCGGTCTGCAGCGAGGCTATAGTGCGCTGCTGTTCTTGGGAGGATTCCTCTAGTATTGTGATGCGGCCTGTCAGGCCCTGCAGCTCTCCCCTTAGTGCGGTGATGCCTGCAAGGATGTTTTTCTGTAGGTCCGCTAGCAGGGTCTTTAATACCCCAGTAGTCACCAGTTCAGCATCGGGGTCCTTCCTGGGTTTTGCCCTCGACTTTGGGTCTGGGTTTAGGAGGTGTTCATCTTCGGCTTCCCCTGAGCAATCATCTGAGAAATCCGAGCAGCCTCTGTGGAGCGCCGCCATATTGCAGCCGCATGCCTGCCCCCACATTTCCCCTATTGTGAGTCCGGGGGCTGGTTTGTCTTGCGTTTGTTTCTTGTTTTTGCCTCCCATTATGGCTTAAGCGGTTCCTGCCTTTGGTCAGTGGGTAGTATCAGCCGTTTTTAGGTATATTTTCTCAGTTTTTGCTCGGAGCTCCTGGGTCTTGCGTCTGCTTGCCTCGGCAGTCAGGCTCTGCCCCCTCTTATGACCTTCTTAATCATATCTATGTATGTTCCAACTCACTGTTATCAAGCAGGTCTTGTGATGTATGCTGATGTTCCTAGCCTGTTTTGTCTAAAATATAAAACTTCATCTTGGAGCATCTCAAGTTACGTTAAGTTTGTAGACATAATTTAAAAAATGTGCAACTTCTCATGCCACTGTCAATCCTGTTAACATATATGCACGCTTTTGTGGCGCTTGATGCTAAACTGTACCTACTTGCACAAAAAAAACCAACAAAAACTGGACATACCCCATTTTGAATACCCTGAGTTGTCTACATTTTTTTTTTTTTTTTTTTTAAATGGTAGGTCATGCTGGGGTTAATTTTCATTTCTGGGCTGCCATACCGTCCCAATGTGGCAAATAGCAATTTACAATAACAGAAATTGGCAAATCTTATGTTTAATCCTATGACTTTCCAAATCACAATAAAACCTGTACTTGAGGAGTACTGTTGTACTCGTGAGACATTACTCTACACAAATATGACTGTTTTAGAGCAGTAAAATTTATTATACTGATATCATTGGTGAAATGGCAGTTTGTGTGAAAAGTGCAAAAAAAATTAAAATATACATATACACACACATATATACACACACACACGCCAATTTTGTTTGGGACTAAGTGGCTACTAAAAAAGACTGGACATACCCCATTTTAAATAACGTGCATTGTCTACTATTACAAATGGTATGCCATGATAGGGTTAATTTTCATTTCTGGGTTGCATACGGTCTCAATGGCAAAATAGGCCCAGCAAACCATTTTGTCAAATTTCAATGTGCAAACATGGAAAAGCTCTATATTTGACCCCTGTACGTTTAAAAACAAACAAACCACAAAACCTGTACATTGGGGGCACAGTTGTACTCGGAAGATGTTGCTGAACACATATTGGGGTGTTCTTTGTCAGTAACACATATCACGAACTGAGAATCCATGCCTAAACTACAATGTGAGAGAAAAACAACAAAAAAAAAAAAATGACTACCCAAAAGGTTTGACAAAGAATGGTGGCAGAATTAGTGCATGAAAAGTGTTAAAATACCACCATTTGAAATACCCTGGGGTTTCTACTTTTCAAAAAATATATATGGTTTGATGGAGGAAAATTACATTGGCCGGCTTCAAAAATGTCCCAAATAGGACCGAGGGTGCCTAGCCTCTGAACTTTTCCCCAGGTCCACTCCAGCCTCCCCCCGCGAGCACCATAGTACAGTGGGCACTCGGGGGCAACGTGAGTCCATGCAGTCCTCTCTCTCCCCCCCACCTCTGGTGCCTCGGTAGGTTCACTGGATGCTCGTGAATGCCTCTCCCATCGCCGGCCACCCATACACAAGAGAGGACGTGCAGCCTCTAAGCCACCGATGACAAGCAAACTCCCGTCCCACAGCTGTGGGGACAATACTCTCCGGGCGCCCACTAAACCAAAAGGTTGAGCATCCGTGTTGTCAGCTTGTGGACGGTCTGGGTCATCCGTCCGTGGCTGGGTCGATCCTGGGCTTGAAAATGCGAACTGTGATGCCCCATAAGATGGTTGCACATGTCTCTTTAATCCCTAAAAGAGTACTTCCCTATAGAAGTGAATATTCCCCTCAGTGTCAGCATCTATGTCTGCTAGTGGGCTGTTCTTTGCCAGTGCAGGCGATCGGCGTGGGACTAACGCTGGAACTCCCATCGCAGTGAGAGCCGTCACCATGGGGCCAGGATAACCCCCTGCCGGCCAAGGGGGGATGAGCGGTGTCGTGCCCCGAGCTGAGTGATTGCTCTGTCTGTCTCCTGCCTGGGTGTCTCAGAGCATATCTCTGCTTTGCCAGGCTGCATTCAACGGCCCCATGAGTTCCGGCTGGTGGCGGCATGCATACCGAGGATGGTAGTTTTTGATCACCCGGTGTGCAATAGGCTTCTTGCGGGTATCAGACTGAAGCTGGGGTTATTCTTTTTACAGTGATATCTGAGAATCCGACTTTTTGCAGCGGTCGGTATCGTCTTTTTGTGCCATTGCCACAGGCTCAGATCTGGAGCCAAAGCAGATGGCCTCCAGTCAGCCCAGCCTGGCCCTGCCCACCCTTAAATTGCTATGTGCGTAAAAAAAAAAACACCAATTAATTTTCTAAATTTGGCGCAGATTGAAAATTTGGAAGGCTCGTACGCGAAGATTCGAGTACTGAAGGAAGTTTGGCTGCATTAACAAAAAAATATATATATATATATATATATATATATATATATATATATATACATATATACACACACACACATGTTTAGGGATTCCTGACAGATATCAGTGTTACAATGTAAATTGCGTTCATTTTAAAAAAAAGCTAAGAACAGGTTAACATTGGGTATTTCTAAACTCAGGACAATATTTATAAACTATTTAGCATGGGTGGTTTTTTTTGGCGGTTGTAGATGCATAACAGATTTTGGGGGTGAAAGTTTTTTTTAAAAAAAAACAACAGTTTTTCTAAAATATTTTCATCATATTTTATAATAAATTATATAATATGATGAAATTAATGATATCTTTAGAAAGACTTTAATGGTGAGAAACTGTATATAATATGTTGGTACAGTAAATAAGTAAGCGAAAAAATTACAGCTAAACACAAACAGCAGAAACGTGAAAACAGCCCTGTTCCTTAACGGTAAGTAAACTGAAAAACAGTCTGGTCACTAAAGGGTTAAGTGAACGTTAAGGTTCTAAGACCTTTAGAGCAGATAGGGATGTAAGCAAAACACAATGTGCTTACCTGAACAGTGCTAATTACGCCATTAACCCCTTAAGGACACATGACATGTCATGATTCCCTTTTATTCCAGACGTTTGGTCCTTAAGGGGTTAATGACTATTTTACACACAATGAAATGCAATGTTTACAGGTCACTGTAGAAACTATAACCACTTCATCTCATTATACAGGCTATAGTGCCTGCCGTTTCCTGGTACGGTTAGTTCATTTAGTAAAACTACTATTTTTAAAATTACTCATACTCTGTAGAAATATTTGGCTATATAGTACAATTTACCTTCCTACAACTTATTGTAGCATGCAGTCATTGAAAACATAAATAAAATCTTGATCATCATAAGATAAGGTTTTGCGAGAAGATAATCATAGAGAATATATATATATATATATATATATATATATATATATCTATCTCTATTATTTTACACACACACTAAATATTTTAAGAATTTTTTCTTCGATACCAACATGTAGATTTCATTTAAATAATGGGATTCGACAGAGTTATGATGATACAGAATGAATGGTTTTACAATAAAAAGACAAGAATCCAATGCTGAGTATGAGTAGACAGCACAGAGTTCTTAATTTGGAATAGGTTAGGGCAGGGGTCCTCAAATTACGGCCCGCTGGCCAAATCCAGCCCAAGCACTCAGGGCTACCCAATGGGCCCGGTCAGCGCTGTGGCCATGCAATAGCGCGACCGGGCCACTTTAAAAATTTGCAGCCGCAAAGTAGTGCTGGCAGGAAGTGGCCTTCACTTCCTCCAAGCTCCCTCTGCGCGGGAGGGAAGAACGACAGGCCGCAAGAGCCACACCGACTCCCATCAGCCACAGTCACCCTCCTGCAAAAAAAAACGTAAGAAAAAAAAAATTTGCACTGTGTGTATGTCTGTCTGTGTTTGTATGTCTGTCTGTCTGGATTTCAGTATGTATGCATATGTATTTCTGTATGTGTCAGTATCTGTGTCTATGTATGCATGTCTGTCTGTGTGTATATGTCTATCTGTATGTCTGTGTTTGTATGTATGTGTCTATGTTTATGTATGTCAGTGTGCGTATGTATGGCTGCGGGTTACGGGTATGTATTTTAGTATGTATGCATGCATGTCAGTGTGTGTGTATGTATGTATGTTTGTATGAATCTGTAAGTCAGTATGTATGGATGTCTGTCAGTATGTCCTTATGTGTGTTTGTGTCTGTATGTATGTTAGTATGTGTATGTGTGTCTTTATGTGTCTGTTTCAGTATGTATAGGAATTTGTTTTAAAAAAAAAAAAAATATAAGGAGTCTCACTATAGTCCGGCCCCCAGCAATGTCTGAGGGACCGTGAACTGGCCCCCTGTTTAAAAAGTTTGAGGACCCCTGGGTTAGGGCTTCCATCCAGTTTCATTAGACACACATGCACTAATCATACTCAAAAACTTAACTATAAAGAAGTCCATTCAAATTATTTTCAGAGCAGAATTTATTAAGATAATTTAAACGGCAACTGCGTTTTTTCCCCAATAATTACAAAGTTTAAAAGTTGACTGTACAGAACCAGTTTTTTACATTGAAGTTTACAGTTTATGCAACTGCCTGTGAGGAACCTGAGGTTAGTGTAGAAGGTTGAGACAGCTGCAGACCATACATTATAATCCCTGTCTGTTGCTGCTGTCAGAGGCAAGTAACGTAACGCATAGCTTTGCGGGCCCGATGGAAGCAGATCTGTTAAACAGTTATATGCACAGCTTTCCTGGCATTGGTAATCCATAACATTAAAATCCCTTTACATCCGATTTGAGAAGTTATTTGTGTACTTTAAAGTTCAGAGATGCCTTCTGTCAAGGCAGGTCAAACAAACAATACTGTAATCATTTTGGTAAACATTTTGTCCTGTTCAGGTGACAGCTGATTTGGGTACAAAGAATCAGCCCAGAAAAAGATAACTTTACAAATAATAAACACATGATAAGAATCAATTAAAACAACATGTAACAGTCAAGGTAAAAAATATAAAAATTAAATAGTAATTAAATTTTCTCCTTACATCATTATACTGGTGGGGATAAGAGATTATGAATGGAACAACATTAAGTAAATATGGCTGTAATAAGAGGAAGATATTTGACACATTTTTCAGTCAAAAGTGGCCTATAGGTTTATAGAAAAGAGATATAAGGCAATGTATACAAGGACATGCTAAGATATTCATGTATATAAATATAATATGATAAATATTTTGCCAACAATATATATATGAAGGGGTACATCTAGGGAAAATACATTCATGCACCCATAGGGCGTGCAGAAAAAGGTAGTACATTACTATCAAAGGGCACAACAGAACTATGCGCTTCAAATGACAGAACAATTTAAGCATAATGCAAGAGTTTAAATTATTTAATCTTCTACTAAGCACACGACAAATGAATGGAAGTACACAGCAGAAGCGAACTGGCAGATTCTAATTCAACTTGAGACATCTGAGTGATAAGGAATCATAATTATTTCAATGTATTCCTGAAAGAGGGTTATATTTTCAGTCTCTGTCCAGGTGCATTTTACATGCACACTTAAAGGACCACTCTAGGCACCCAGACCACTTCAGCTTAATGAAGTGGTCTGGGTGCCAGGTCCAGCTAGGGTTAACCCATTTTTTCATAAACATAGCAGTTTCAGAGAAATTGCGCATTCAGCCGCATGGGAGGAGAAGAGGAGGATCGGAGGAGAGCTCCCCGCCCAGCGCTGGAAAAAGGTAAGTTTTTTCCCCTTTCCAGAGCCGGGCGGGAGGGGGACCGTGAGGGTGGGGGCACCCTCAGGTCACTATAGTGCCAGGAAAACGAGTATGTTTTCCTGGCACTATAGTGGTCCTTTAAGGAAATAAAAAAAAGGGCACAGACTTTACTGCACTATTCAATAATAAACACACTACTGCTCTCTGCAATTGGGACTGATGTATAGACATATCTGCCAGATTTTGGGGAAATTTGGAAAAATAGCCAATTTTACATTGTTCCTCATTCTTTCCTTGTTTTCCAGCATCCAAGCATTTATTGGCTCTGAAATCTATTTTTGGTTATACAATTGAAAAAAAAATTATGACAATATAGTTTAAAATAAGAGACACTTTGAAAATTAAAGAGTTAAAATAATTTCCGAAGGTAAGGAATGGACTACTTTATTTTATGAACCTTCTTATCTGGGCTCAGTCAAAATGTTAAAGTGACACGATTACTCACCACCCCTCAAAAATAAGTATTTCATAAGCATAGAATTTTTAAGAAATATTAATTTTGACTGTTGGAATTTCATTGAAATTACAACCCAGTCAAGAGATTTACAGACTTCTTTGAGATAGATTTGGGCAGAGCTACAGAGTCAATCCCGACAGCAGCCAGGGAATTAGCTCAGTCTATGAAGGATTCTGCGGTCTTGCTGGATCCTCCATAGATTTTACTCTTGAGCATATACGAGAGTACAGCAGTGACATTGTAGCTGAAGAGAACACATCAGAACAAGATTATGACCCACTCGAGGGACAGGTTCACGTAAGTAAATCTCACCTCCACCTGTCTTCCAGCTGTGATGTCACCATGGGGTGTCTTTGCAAATTCATCAAAGTCCCCCAAAAATGACAGTACGGTTTAATTAGCTGTAGCAAAATGCTACCTAGTATGCATACATTCCCATAGGAATATTTACTGCCCTTTAAAGTAGTATCACAAATTGCTTCACAATAAAAGATAACACATGTAGCTGTGAAGGCAAGTAGGGACTTAGAATACATATTATATATTATGCAAAACATAGTGTGCCTACTCATGATTTAGATTCAGGAAACTCCCAAGATGTAATAAAACAAAACAAAAAATAAAACAAACTTGCCTTTTTCCAGTGTCGAGACTCACTCCATGTAAGCCACCAGCTTATTGTCCAATTCAAATGCTTCTCATACGGAAGTAATGAATCCAAACCTTCCCAATGATAAGCTTCAGAGGACATTCAAAGTCCTCAAGAATGCATGAGGACATTGCATGTCACAAAGTCTGACTGTTATAGCAGTGGAAGCACCATTTAGTAGCTGTCAGAAAACAACCTCCAGAGCTTCGTTTAGCCCTGAAAAGGTAAACATCTAAAAATGATCTAGGTGCCTAAAAAGGCTGCGCATAAACACTATGCAGTTCACATGAATACAAGGTGGACAACATTACATAACATTCAGAACTGTGTCAAGTTCTATACCTTCTTAAATGCATAACTGATGTGCGGTGGTATCAAAAGCCAGTTATCACTTATGGGTGATGGCTCATAGGAAACATTCAAGGCAAGGTAGTCAAATATTTAATGCATAAAACCAAGTAGTCTCAACATGATTTCATGTAATTATTTTGATTGGGATTTAAATCCATTTAGGTGTGATGTATAGGCAGGATTTTGTAAATACTCAAAGAGGTCCCATCAAAGCACCACAGCAATTTTGCATCATTGCACATGTTGTGGTAAAGAAAGTACTCTGCATTTTCAATTATGAGAGTGGCTTATAACAGAGGGTTTATTGGAGAAGATCAGACCCCGACTGGTGGAGGCTCTTCATTTTGACAATAGTGTTCCTTTACCAATTCCAGTACAGCAAAGATATGGTTTTGAACTCTAAAGTAATACTTTTCCCCCCAAAAAAAATCTTTTAAAAAACCATTTTGGATATTAAGAGGGAAAAATTGAGCACTGTTCTGGGCTTTGAAGAGCTAGACACTCCTCAGTGTGGAATGTGTGAAAAGAGTTAAGGGACACTCCAGACCTCTAAAGCACTTTAGCTTGCTGAAATGCTTTATGTGTGAAGTGTCTCCTCTTATATTTTTTTACGAAGAGGTGCAGATTTCAATAAACACTGGCAATTTTTTAAATTAACCTAGTTGCACCTTCTCTGGCTTTCAAGTAGACAACTGCTCCTGTTACGTCATGGTTTGGTTAGCTCAGTGGAGCCACGTTCAAGAGGCAGGCAATTGACCAGAGCACTTGCCTTGCAAAAAAAATAAAATAAAAAGCAGCCGCTTTTAAATTGTCCAGTCTCAGAAATTCAGGGCTGGGAAAGATAAAATGAGAACTTGCAAAGGTAGCAGTGAAAAGAAATGCAGCTTTGTAAACTGTTTTAGGTATAAGCCTAACGAACAAAGTAAATGCATGGATGCTTTCATTTAGGGATATATCTACTAAACAGTTTTGTTTTGTGTATATGGGCAGTAGAGAGCCCTTTTAAACATTAACTTATCTGCAAGGAGTATGGGATATGTATCAAGATAACACAGTAAACAAGGTTTAGACAAAGGCTAGCCAACGTTCCCTGGTCTGCGCACAAAAACAAAATTATATTTAATGGAGACCCTTTTTTTTAGGTTTTAAATGTATAATCTTAAAAAAAAAATGATCAAGAAAGAAAAAAAAAAATATATATATTACATATACATACATACATACACACATACACACACTTCCAAACCTAGGTGGTCAAAAAATTTAAATACAAATTGTACTATTTTTAAACCCAATACCAGTAACAAACTATTATCTCCATATGGGACCATGATTATCAATACATTATGTAAGCAGCAAATACAATACATTCAATATATTCTGCACTTCAATCCCAGAAACTGGTAGACATGCATATAAACAAACAACATTCTAATCTGGTTTCGCACATAAGAATCTCTCTAAGCTAGTCAAAACACCACATCCGAATGGAAAGCCATTATGTAGAATCATAAAATAGTTCCCAAGAGCTACACATTTTTAAATAAAACAAGGAAAGGAGGCAATTTAATCTCTGGACCTCAGGCTTTAGGTTGTAATTGTTGTTAATTCAGAAGTGTAAGAGCCCAGAAATAAAAAAAAGTTGACATTCAAACAATAGTAGGATGACATGATAGGTCTGATCTACAACATTGACAGCAGAAATAACTGTACTAAATAATTAATTGTGTAAACGAAAATGCAATTCAAAAAAATAACCCGGGTATAGGCATTTCTACCAAAAGACTTTTCCAGAATTCAGGTCATATTAGGAACACTGTAACAGAAGGTTAAAAATAAATACAATTTAAAAAAAATATAAATAAAAGAAAAAATTTATTAACAAAATGATGCAAGTGTGGGTGTCAAACTACCAAATATAAGAGGACCAATTTTATTCTACTCAAACTGAAACTTGCATTATTAACTGGTAATCTGGTAACATATGCCTCAAGTAAATACACATTTCAGTTTCAATCCTCCAAAAATAAGGATTCATATCCACAAAAATCTAACTTTTGTTAGGTCCTGAAAGTAGGTACTAGTTCATGCTAAAGGTGAAGCTGTAATCTGAAAATTAATTGAAAAACACTCGCACTGCCAAAATGTCAGACATTACTAGCAAAATAGTTATGATGCTAGGAGCAGGGATCTGACATCACTAAATAGTGCGCAAGGAAGCAGAGCTCGAAGATTATAGGAAGCTAGCAGCTCCACTGGGGCCACAGGGAGAGTATCCACTCCAGCTCTCCCAAAAAGGTAAGGAGGTTGGGTGGACGTAAATTAAAATAAACACATTTTCAAGGAGTATGAGAGTGAGTGAGTGTGTGTGTGTGTGTGTGGAGGGGGGGGTTATTGGTACACTAAAAACACAAGGCATGTTTATGTTCACAACTGACTTGACAAAGGCTTGTTGTAGGGCCAAAGAATCGTCTTTCGGTCTGCACTTCAAATAAAGTCTGCCTTCATAAGAAACCTCCAGGTGTGCCCAGAAATTGTTGTTTCCTATAGTAAGTGTGTATGTCTAAGTATTGGTATTTTAATTCTAAAAACACAAGGCATGTTAATGACCACAAAAAGCCAAGTGAAAAAAAAACATACATTACATAAAACATTTGGTATGTAACATCAGAATGTATTCATGATCTGCATAAATTAAATGCTCAAGAATCTAGGTTCTAGTCTTCATGTGTAAATTTAAGGGAACATGTCAGGAAAACAAACATATTCCTGGCACCACAATGTTAAACTATGTAGGTGACTAGGCCTCTTCAGATCACATGGTAAATGAGATTTTACTCACCTTTTCTCCCTTATGCCGGTCGCAGCATCCACGTTCAGTGGCTCCATACAGTGTGTTAAGATGCTCATTGACTGCCACTAGAGGTGTTACTAAGCTCAATGTAAACACTGCCTTTCAGAGAAATTTACAAGTTTATATTGAAGAGCCTACAGGAACAGGCTATAGACACCAGAACCACTGTATTAATTTGTAGTGATTCTGGTGACTAAATTGTTGCTTTAAGATCTGTTGTTATTTCGTCATTAAAAACAAAGTTTTGTTGCAAAAAAAAAAAAAAAAAGACAGAAAAAACAAACTTGGCTCCTAGATTCTACGCACATTTGTCAAACCCTGCACTAATAATTAAAAACCTTGACAAAAATCTGGGGAATAGTGCCCAGAGACAAAAAAAAAAAAAAAGCCTCCTCTCAAGAGGCTTTCTGTAGAGGTGATATTGCCAAGACTGCCTCTTTAAAAGAAACACTCCAGTGTGCTGTAGTAGTTATGATGCCTGGCACCTTCCCAATTTAAGTAGTTAAAAAGTTGTAGAACAGTGTGATTTTTATTTTTTTACCTGAGGTTCCCCAGCGCCACATCCACCTCCTCTCAGCTTTTGCTATACATCTCTTGAGCAAAGCCCCACAGTGCAGGACTAGCTCATTGTCTGACAGCATAAGCTGACCACCATAAGCCAATCAGCTAAGCTCTGCACCACTAGACTAAGCTCAGACGAAAGCTGGCAAGAGAGGAAGCTATATTGGAGGCTGGGAGAAGTGCCCCATATGAATCTAGGTAAGACGTTCAAACAGTCTGACTACATACACTAGGGGTTGTGTTGGGGGAGGGAGCCAAGGCTCTGCTGGCACCATAACCAGTACAGCATACTGTAGTGGTAATGCGGTTTGGCGAGTTAATTTATGCGCTCAAGGTGGCAGAACAATCCAGTCATTTGAAGACATTTTGAATGGCACACTTCCATATACTATGCTGATGTTGTAGCAATTAGAATACACAGCCATGCTGTAAGATATCAGTGGAACAAAGCACAAAACGTCTCATTTTTTGTTTACTCCACAATAAAGTCTACCTGTTGAATAAACTATTTGGTGTGTCCAAACCTACTTTTTTGTTCCACTGTATTGTTCTGGGCTGGAACCCTCCCTGTTTTGGAGCACCCTAGTGGAAGTACTCCCCAAAATGTGTGTGCAGAAGGTTCTCTGAAACTATGGCGGCGCTCTGGTAGTACATTAATAACTTAATGGTGGTGAGTAATAAATAAACTTACCGATATAAAAAGTCTGCTAGCTCATTAGGGCAGGATATAGGAAGCACTCTGCGTGACAGTGTTAATATGGTTTCCTCATATTAAATAAAAAACCAAACAAAAAACACAAAACAACACAGATAGGGTTACTCATAATGAGACTGAAAGCATACCTCCTAAATGTCCCTATTTAAGGGGGAGTCATTATTTTGGACCCCAAAACCTATTTTCTCACCAAATGCCCCTCTTTTATACAAGCTCTATATTGTTGATCTGAGTGTATAAAAGGGATTGCACAGCAATAATACTCACAGTAATGTGTCTTTAAACAATTAAAGTGTTTAGAAATCAGAATGTGTAAGTAACATTGTTCTTGCTATAAACTATGTTGTAGTTGCATAAAATCAAGTCACTTAAAGTTTCCAGTTCGGCTACTCTGGTCTTTAAATGGAGAAAAAAAATAAAATGTTGAATTCCAAATTTAAGGACCACTCTAGACACTATAACTACTTCAATAAGGTAAAGTTGTTATGATGCTAGCATGTCCTGGTGCATATTACCTGAAAGAATGGCTAGGAAACCTTGGGCACGGCCAATGTGGGGCTGACGCTCTAAGCCTACGACTAGCTCCCCATTCAGAAAAGTGTATTAAAAAAAAAAAAAAAAAAAAAGTTTATTAATGACTTTATCATGATCATGCACCAGGTTCCAAAACTTGGAGTTCAACATTCGTTAATGATTTCACACCTAAAGTTAGACTGTCTCTGGGACCTCCTGGCACCATAACTTAATTTTAAAAAATAAAATAAAAATTGTTCTAGTACAGCAAATAAATTCAAAAAAACAAAACAAAAAACAAACAAAAAAAAACCACACACACACACACCACAAGGTCTCGATACCCACTTTTGTATTTGCCAATTATGTATTTCTCCTGAATAAGCAAGCTTGAGAATAAAAGCTTTACCCAAATGTGCTTGTAGCCACATAGCAGTGAATACACATTAAGGAGAGTCTGTCACTATCCATTTCTTTCCACAAGGTAAAAAGGGCAATGTCTGCACAGTTACCAACATGAATCTTGATAAAACTGTGCTGGTTATCAATTAAACTAGAACATACCATTTTAAAATGCATGATTTAGACTTCGGACGATCAAACATTTTTTTTAGTAAAATAAGGTTAACACAATACATGATTTCTTTGCTGAATAAACTAAATACAAAAACAAAAATAACCCCACAAGGACTAAAAAAAAGTGCATTTTATCAATAACTGAAGACTCCAGTAGACACCTAGTTGGAAGAATTTAAACAAGAATTGGAAAAAGAAAAGAAATTAAGTATGACATTTATTCCAAACTAACCTCAAAGTTTACCTCTTGCAGAATAAAAAAAATAAATAATAGGGTAGGAGGAAAAGAACACAAGGTATTTAATACACATTTCATAAAAATTTGTATATAAACAGCTGCATGAATAAAAACACCATTTAAATTCTGGGACGGGTAAGGCCCAGCATATTTCAGATAAAATCAGGATTAAAATAGAACTCCACACTCCAAAATTCTATCTGGAGATAGGTAACAAGGAACGTTAAAAGCATGACTTCTCATCCCTGCATTTCCACAGATCACAGTGGTGTAACACTTCTTTCCTTTCCACAACCACCAAACCAACACGAAACTCAACCACAACACCTGGGGATGGAAAAAATATATAAAATAAAACTATCCTTGGTTTCCATTCATACTGTTAAGACCCATTCTGATTTTTTTTTTTTTTAGATTGGAGAATCTTCCATGCAAGAAAGAGTGTTCCTCTAATCAGTGATACTTCTTTCCTGTGGACACCAGTAGCATGGGTCATGGTTTCTGCTTCATCACATGCACAGTGCACAGTCTCCGGTTCTTCCAAAGCTGTCTCCTGGAGACAATTATCCATCCAAAGGCTTTCCTAAATACACTAAAGTCACTTCTGTGTTGCCATATACGGCAGACACTGCTGGATAGAGGCATGCTTTTGGAAGTCCTCTAAAAGCCACGCCCAAGAACTCATATCCACGCTCAAAAGCCAATGTCTTGTCTTCCATATCTAAAATAACTCTGATCCTTTCACCAATCTGTATGAAAAAAAACAAACAAAAAAAAAAAACTATTGAAAGCAGACATAAAAATGTTGCTATCGATAAAAGTACAGGATTAACATTGAAAGAGACAGGTCAATGGTAAACAAAAAATAGAATAGACATAACATACCGGTTTTAAAATAAATATATGCTATGAGCATCTTGGAAACATGACTAAACACACGTTAAGAAAGATTGAGAAACAAGATAATAGGCTCTCAAGAAGAGAGAAGGGCTTTAAAATAAACTGATTGCCTATAGTGATGAGCACTTGAATGCCACAAAAGTTTTACAAAATGAAATATGTAAGCCAATTTTAATTACCATAATATGAATACAGATAAAGGGCACAAATCTTTACAATATTTTAGTGCACTTACTTGATATTTAGGAGCATTGTTGCACTGGGGAAAGCTTCCATTTACTTCCCCATTATGCAGTAGATTATTATCTACAAGATTCCATCCCCAGCTCTGGTCATCACTCCCTAAAAGGGCGACATAGCCCTGACATTGCATCGGGGCCCGTTTTGTTGCGATGCCAATCACAGCCACTGTGCCCAGTGGACCTTCCCACCACACCTCCCATGCATGGCGACCTTCACTGAATCCAATTTTGGTGCGTGCACCATCTGTGCTCTGAGCTATGGGATTGCGGTGGAGGGTAAAGCCATTTTTTTTAATGTAGACATTCCGGGAGCAGTCACTTGAGCTGAAACCATGCTGGAAGGCACGCACCTATGTAGAAAGAAACAAAGCACAAAATTTTTGTTATTAAAGAGACACTATAATCACCAGAACAACTACAGCTTATTGAATTTGTTCTGGTGAGTAGAATCATTACCTTCAGGCTTTTTGCTGTAAACACTGTATTTTCAGAGAAAATGCAGTGATTACATTACAGCCTAGTGATAACTTCACTGGCCACTCCTCAGATAGCTGTTAGAGATCCTTCCCGGGTTATGGCTGCCTAAAATGCATCCAAACATTCAGTATATCCTTCTGCATGCAGACACTGAACTTTCCTCATAGAGATTAATTGATTCAATTCATCTCTATGAAGAGATGCTGATTGGTCAGGGCTGTGTTTGAATCATGCTGGCTCTGCCCCTGATCTGCCTCCTTATCAGTCACAGCCAATCCTATGGAGAAGAACTGTGATTGGATCAGAACTTTTGGCTTATCAGCTTTCCGACTTCCAACCACTATTTCATCTCAGTATAACACATTAGTGCTTTATTGGTCTATTTATATCACTCAGTCCTCTTTAGGACTCTTCTTTACATACTACTAGTAGCCATACACAGAGTTGAGCACTGTTTAGCCGAAGGCTTCCCCTGGCACTCATAGCAACTAGGATTATTTGGTATAACATATTTTTATATAGTGACAACTCTCATACGGTTGCAACTCCGCTCTATTGCTACCACCATTTGTACATTGTCTATCTCTTCTCCCTTTTTGTTTAGCACTGTATCACTTAACATTTAGTCCGATTTTTCATTTATTCTAGTGCGGTTATACTGCCACCTTCTGGCCATACTATAACCAATCCTACTGACGGCTATAATAAAATGTTTCATTTTATTAAAATATTTGGGCTAGAAACTTAGTTTCTCTCTTTTTTTTCAAGTTACTTACTCCTTGGTTCATGCCCAACCTTCTTAGTCCAAAGACTCTTTACTGATTCTCCCACCCCCTCTCTTTTTTTGTTAGCCACTAGAGGTGCTTCCTGGGTCAGTGCTGCAGAGTGTGTTGCACTTGTATTCATATTCCCCACACACTGCATTGAGGTGCTGAATGTTCCTCGTAGAGATGCATTTGATTCAGTAGGGTCAGTGGCATAAATACCCACATAGGCACTATAGTGTCAAGAACACGTTTGTATTCCTGACATTATACTGTTCCTGATTTAGTAAAAATCTTAATGCCAATCCAACATAATCATTGTATTTCATAATATGTCTACCTTAAAGAAATACACAGAAGAGACAGTGCTGCTTCAAAAGGGACGCTAAGCACCATACCCAGTATTACCCACTATGACAGTTTAATAAAGACTGGTTCTCCTTGATTAACCTGTGGCTAAGCCCCACTTCACTGTATGTATGTATGCATACATACATACATACATACATACATACATACCAGACAGACTTCAAGTAGAGATTGTAGCTGTATTAGTTCAGTGATTTAGAGGTTTAAAATTAAAAAAAAAAAAAAAAGATATTTTGTAATACCTTTTTTATTGGACTAACTTCATACATACACACACACACACACACACACACAAGAGATTTTATATCTATATATACACACACACACACATATATATATATATATATACACACACACACACATATATATATATATATATATACACACACACACACATATATATATATATATATACACACACACACACACACACATATATACATACACACACACATATACATACACACACACATATACATACACACACACATATACATACACACACACATATACATACACACACACACACACACATACCCAAATATAAATGCACGGTCACATATATAAAGCATACATGCATTAGAGTATTGGAAAGCACAGGTCTACACATAGTACTTATATTGAAATACATTATAAAATGTTGATACATATGACAGAACAGTAAGATAATGTGGGGGAGTGTTCATGTAAAGTGTAGGTAGTGGGACAGGAAACCCAAATCAATATTTAGCCCTCTATTCTTGCTGTTAAACAATTTGATCATTCTGGTTTCAAACGTTTTTCTTTCTTGGATATTTTTAAAACCCCCTTTCAGTACTTTGATTTTTAGGTCCTTCATTGAGTGGCCAGACTGGGTCAAGTGGTGTCCCACAGGAGTGCAGTACAATTCTACTTTGTGGTGTTTAATGGAGTGTCTGTGCATATTCATTCTGATATTTAATTGCTGGGTGGTTTCCCCAAT